CTTTGGAACCCTTTTGAAAAATAAGCAGCCCAGAAATCCCCCACCTGGGGCTCTCCCTCCTTCCTCAGCCGCCACTGCCTCCTCCTTCTCCTGGGTCCTGAGCCCCGCTGAGCCTTCCTGGGGTCTGTAGGGACCTTGGGTCCCTGAGCTCAGAAGCTGGACCTGACAACTTTCGCTTGTACATGAAGGGGTTAGGGATGCACTGATCAAGGCCCCATCACTGTCACCCGGCCCTCCAGTCTCCCAGTGCTTGGGCTCCTTGGGCAGGGTCCTAGCGCTCACCCCTTCAGTGGTCCTCAGATCCCAGCAGCCTGGCCCTTTCAGGTCCTCTTAGACCCCAGCATACCTGCCTACACATCTGCCTCATTTTACACAGGAAACAATTTGCAGCGAAGCCAAAGGAAAACAAGGCACATGGCGCCCTTGCTTCTGCCACCCATGCGAGATGAGGACACCACATCCTCAGCAGGAAGGTCAGGCCTCTGCTGGCCGCATGTGTGACTGCTCGCAAAGCACCTTCCTTTGGCTTCGCTGACAACTCCACTGTAATGGCGTGCGCCGAATCCCGCTGTTCTCTTCGCCTTGACAGTCTTTTTCCCTTTCTTATGGATTCTCCCTAAGACTATGTCCAGAGTCTTCAGGCACCTGCTGCCCATGGTGCCCCCTTCCTTTAGTCCCTCTCCTCCTCTGCAGCGCCCCCTGTGCCCTTCTGTCCTGGGTAGCACGGTGTCTGGTTTAAAGGGGTTGCTGTGGGCGTAACTGTGTGGCCCCACCCTGATTTGTATGTAGAAGCCCTGACCCTAGGACCTCAGAATGTGACCGTGGAGATAATAGCTTTAAAGAGGCAACTAAGTTAGAACTGGGTCATGAGGGTGGGCTCTGCTCCGACAGGACTGGTGTCCTTAAGAGAAGAGGTTAGGGCACACAGAGAGATACCGAAGCAAAGACCGTATGCGGACACAGGGAGGAGACGCCAACCGCAAGCCAGGCAGAGAGAGAGGCCTCGTCAGGAACCAACCCTGCTGCGCCTTCAAATTCTGCCTCTAGAACTGGAAAAAATAAATTTGTCACCCAAGCCACCTCATCTATGATACTTTGTGATGGCAGCCCTAGCAAACTAGTACACAACTCTTCCAGAAACATCAAGCAGGTTCTAGCAGGAAAGAGAGGCAATGGCTTATTCACTACGCATGAGCAAAGTTAAATGAGGAACCACATGAGCAGAGTCAGGGCTGACTCTGAGGCTGAAACCCGTTTACGTTGCTGCTTCTCTCCTGGTGCATACACAGGTCCGGGGATTGATGGGTGTGGGGGGCGGGGCTCCTCTCCTCGGAACACCTGACAGTCCCTTGGCCGAGGTCTTGGGTCCCACCCTACAACGTGGAGCTGTGTTGGTCTGAAGGTCTAAGCGCCCAGGGAAAATGGTCTCAGCAGTATGCACACCCAAAGTGACACCGCTTGAGATGCTGATGGTCTTGAACCAACTCGTAAGCTAGGGCAGCCTACTGCCACCTGGGGCGGCCCATCCTGATTGCTTGAGGGACGCTGGACGCTGCTGTACTGAGGACAGGAGGACCGACATAGGAGCCGGAGGAGTCCCATCTAATCCTAGGGTCAGTGAGGAGGTCCAATGGCAGCAAAGGCAGAAGACAGACCCTGCACAAATAAAGCTTGGAATGACCTCACCGCATAGCCCCAGCCCGCTGAGATCCGGACAGACAAACTAGGCCTGTACTGGCCGTGCAGCAGAAAGGTTAAACGCTGTGGTGCTGCTAGTTCTCAAGCTTACTTACAGGAATGAAAACTAGCTGCTTTGGTCCATAATCTTCCTTGTTTCATATGTATGCACTAACTATTCCTCCTTCCTTTCCCTGTTTTTCTCAAGTTTGGTAAACTTTTTATTGAATTATAACACAAGTACAGAAAAGTACAGTCTGTCTCCATCTCTACAAATTCAATTAACCATGGATTGAAAATATTTTAAAACGGTGTATCTGTATTGAACATGTACAGAACTCCTTTCTTACTGCTTTTCCTTAAACAAGCTAGTTTAGCAACTAGCTACATAGTGTTTACATTGAATTCAGTATCACAAATCATCTAAAGATGATTTCATGTACAGGGGAGATATGCATAAGTTCGATGCAAATATAAGCCACTTTATGTAAGAGACCTTGGGCTCTGCAGACCTTGGTATCTGCACTGGTCTTGGAGCCAATCCTCCCTGGATATTATGGGATACTGTACATGAACTGTAGGTGCACAGCCACGCACACACCTGTGTAACAGCACTTGCATCAGGAAATAAACAGAGCCTGCACTCCAGAGCTTCCCCTGCCCCTCTCCAAGGTCAAACCCCACGGAACCCCAAAAGTCGCTGTGCCCTGACTGAAACACCACACAGTAGTTCTGTCTGTTGAACTTTACATGAATGAACTCACAGGCTTTTTTTTTTTTTTCAAAATCTCAATTCTGCAAGGCCTGGTGGTGCACGCCTGTAATCTCAGCACTTGGGAGGCTGAGGCAGGAGGATGGTTGTGAGTTGGAGACCAGCCTGGGCTACAAAGTGAGCTCAAGGCCAGCTTGAACTGCATAGTGAGAGCCTGTCTCACAAAGACACACAAAAAAGTCTCAATTCTCTCTCTCTATATATATAAAACATTCATCTCTATTGTATGGAGCTGATTGTCCAACTCATTGCTTTGAAGTTTTCCTTTGTGAAGAGACAAGCATTTATTTGTCTGTGCTACTGTTGATGGATATTTGGGCAATTTCCAAAGCCTACTTATCACACATTGCTTCTGTGATCATCGTAGGACATCTTTAAGTGAATGTACATATGTATTTCTGTTGGGTACCTTCCTAAAGTGGTTATGTCAAACGCTGCTCCCATCAGAGGTGTAGAAGCTGTTTTCCCCACATCCTCAGCACTGCTTGTGGTTAGCTTTTTGATGTTAGTCTTCCTGCTGGGTGGGTAAATGGTATTGCACTGAAGCCAGCCTGCCTATCTTCCTGCCTGCCTTCCTCCTCCTCTTCCTCCTTGCTTGCCTTCCTTTTCTTCCTCCTTCCTCTCTCCCTCCATCTCTTTTCTTGTTAACAGCTTTATTGAGATACAGCTTCTCCATCTAAGTTGTACAATTTAATTGATTTTGCTATTTAAACATTATGGTACAGCAGTCACCATGATGAATATTAGAATAGTTTCATTACTGTACCCACAAAAGAAACCTCACAACCTTTAATTATCACCTCCAGCATCTGGCAACCACAAATCTACTTTTTGCCTCTATAGATTTGCTATTCTGGACTTTTCATACAAATGGAATGATTTGATATACGTTTATGCATTTTGTTTATTCATCAGTTGAAGGACATTTGGGCTGTTTTCATTTCAAGGTTATTATGAATAATGCTACTGGGAACACAAGTGTACATGTGTTTGTGTGGGTGTGTGCTTTCTTTCTCTTGAATATGTAACTAGGTGTAAAATTGCTTGTTAAATGGTAATGCTGTTAAACTGAAGAGAAATTGCCAGATTGTTTCCCAAACTTTCTGCACCATTTTACTGTCTCACCAGCAATGCATAAGCGTTCCAGTTTCTCCATATTTTGCCCAACCTTGTTGTTTTTATTTTTTTTTTCATTGTAGCCACCCTGGTGGGTGTGAATTCCTATTTCACTGTAGTTTTGGCATCGTAGTTTTAATTAGTATTTCCTCAGTGACTAATGAGCTTGAGCACCTTCACATGTTCATTGGTCATGAGGACACACCAGCATTCACTGTAGCCCTTTAGCCATTTTTCCCTCTTGGGTTATCTGCTATCTTCTTGTTGATTTATAATAGTTCTTTCTATATTGTGGATGAGTCCTTTGTTAGATATGTATGTTGTAAATGCCTTCCTCCAGTTGTGCCTTGTCTTTTTACTCTTTTCATGCATTTTTAAGCATAAGTTTTAAATCTTAACCTAGTCCACATTGCCCAATTTTTCTTTTCCTCCTCCTTGTCCTTCTCTTCCTCTTCCTCCTCCTCCTCATCCTCATTGTTGCTGCTGTGTCCTCACCTTTGTCTTCTTGTGCATCTTCCTATTTCAGTCTTTTCACAGGTCAGGAACCATCCACCCAGTCTATCAGTTTTACTGTAACAGTCAAGTGCAGTGGTGATTTTCTATTGCAAAATTTCACATTCTCCCGGTGCCCCACCTGGGCAACCATAGATGATAATCACGTGATTTTGATGCCATAGGGCACCAGTATGCCATTTTCCATGAGTGATGAGTCCATCTCTGCATTCATATTGAAACAGAACAACCCAAGCACAGAGATCCAACTTTGAGGGTCCACTTCCAGAGTAAGTCTAAGCCCAGTTAGGAAAACAGGAAGTAACTAAATATTTCACATGGGAATTTGCAGAGAGAACTGACTACAAAGGGAAAGGGAAAAAGGACGAGTGGATTAAAAAGTAGAAGGGAGAGAGCTGGAGAACAAAAGGAAGGTGGGATGGAGCCCAGAGAAAAGAACGAGTATCCCTGGTCTCGGTCCATCTGTGCTGCTATTACAGAAGATCATAAACTTACAAATTACAAAGCTTTATTTTTCTTTTTTTTATTTTAAAGAGTAAAAGAAGGATAACAATAATGGGGGGTGGGCTTACCAAATTACAGACAAAGTGGTAGGAAATTATCAATGGTTATTGTTTTACATATTGTTATCTACAAGATAGTTTCTCGGGAAAACAGACAAATGATAGTGAGTTACAGACAAAAGAGGTAGGAGATTATCAGTAGTTATTGTACTCTACTTAGGTATCTTCGAAAGAAAATAAATAGAACTGTACATGAGTGACCTATTGAATAATCATTAACTATTCTCAATGGTTGTTGTAGGAAACACATAATAATAAACATGCATCCATTTATGAAATAGGATAGGAACAATACAAACATTACAGAGTTATGGATAGATTAGTAGGAAAATATCAATGACTGCTGTAATACATGTTGGTATCTTAGAAATGGTTTCTCAGGAAGACAGAGATACACAAGAATAAAGCTTTATTTTTCACAGTTCTGGAGGCAGAAGCACTAGGTCAAGGCACCAGCAAATTTGGAGCATAGTGAGGGTCTCCTTGTTCCTAGCTGACACCTTCCCTTGTGGCCTTACATGGTGCAAGGGGTGAGGGGTCTGCATGAGCCTTTGAAAAGAGGGCTAATCCAATCACGAGGAGCTCATGCCTGTGATCTAATCACCCACCAAGGTCCATTCCTGGAATATCATCATCACATTGGTGGTGAGGATTTCAACATACGCATTTCGTTGAAGAAAGATTCAGGTCACAGTACCTCTGGGGTACCGAGAGCTTGTGTCTGCTCCTGCATTAGTGGGGAAGCTGGAGCTGGGGAGAAGCTGGCACTTCTGGCTCTGGACCTGGGAGGAGTCACTTTCGCAGCCAGGGCTGCAGCCAGTGATAAAGGTAGGTTCTGCACCAGGGCCCCCAGGCCTAGAATTGCCAGTCCTGGTGTTACAACTGCCATCCTATCAGAACAGACACTTCTTTCTCCCTCCTGCCTCCGTGCTGCGGCTGATCCTGCTCTGTTAGGTCCTCAGCAAGGGAGAAGCCAGTGAGGTCCTCCAACTACGTTAGGTCCTCCAGCAAGCGAGGGGCCTGGGAAGTGCAGAGCACAGGGGCCAGGTGGGGGCTGGACACGCGCGTCTCCAGTGCCCCTCGTAGGATTCCAGCCCACTTGCCCGCTCTCCGTTGCTTGAGGCCCTGACTCTGCTGCGCTTCAGGGACACCGCCCGCGCTTGTCCACCTGGCTGGCCTTGGCTCAGACTCTGCGTCTCAGGCTACTCTGTCGAAGTGCTTTCCGAGGTCCACGGGGACTGCACATCCTTCTCACTAGAAGCAACTTTCCAAAGCACAGGCAGTGTAACTGACGTAGGATTAGGCCACTAACGCAGTGGGTGCTGAGTGAACGAGCCAATTAAGAATGAAAGAATGAACGAGTGACAGGCCTGTCCCTAGGAAATCTGAACAGTAGGTTGGAGTCTTTTCTCTCTGGAGATTCTTGCTCTGAGATCCAGTACGTGTACTTCTCCCAGTCCCACCCATCACAGAGGCCCGACCCCTCCCATGTCCTTCCTCTGGACCCTGCCTCTGGTTCTGAAGGGTGTGTAGCTGGAACTCTGTTGTTCATGGCACAGTCCCCAGCCTTGTGGCGTAAAACACACAGATGGCTATTTATACCCAGGGCTATTTATATAGAATTTATGAAAAAAGAGCTATGTGGTTGAACAAATTTGGAAATTTCAGGTTTTAGCAGATGAAGCAGCATTCTTTACTGCAGAACTTTTCAGATCTTCAAGATGTTAATGCGACCATCCAGGCAGGAGAACGTTAGTTACGTTCTCCAGGCTCAAGTAACCACAAAACCTTTCTTTTTAGGAACACTTACGCAGCGTTTTGTAACAGGTAAGTTATGACTTTCAGTATATTTTATTGATGTCTGAATAGGTAACACATGTGCATAGCATGAAATAAAGCAGGTTCCTAAGCCCAAAGCAGCGCTCAGAGGTGCCCGCAGGCCCCTGTGCTTGGCTTCTTCTCATTTGCTTCTCCTGCCGCAGGCTGAGGACTGTGGAGCGTCCTGCGGGATGATAACCATCAAGGACGGCTTTAGGCCATGGCCTTCAAGAGCCTGGAGAAGTCTTTTCTCCTTTTCTTTCTTTCTTTTTTTTCTTTTGGTGCTTCATTTAAAAAGTTTTATTATAGTAAAAGACACACTGCCATTAACTCCCCTCACAATAAACCTCCTCCCACCACTCTTGCCTCTTTCTGAAGCAGTTCTGGAAGCCCTCTTTCAGGAGCGTCTGTAGAAGCATTGTAGCGGCTGCCTCAGTGTCCTGAGTAGATCTGGACTTTTCCCTTTCACAATCATGTTGACCCTGGAGAAGAGCCAGAAGTCACAGTGTCATACCCGGTGAGCAAGGTGGACAAGGACACACCATAATGTTTCACAAGCCCGTCTCTCTGCAGGCTGGCACTGGGCAGCAATACTCCCCACCCAGCCCTTTAGGGTTTCTTGTTAGCCAGGTCTAATAGCTATAAAGTCCTTCAGCTTTTGTTTACCTGGGAATGTCTTAACATGAGAAGTCCTCTTTCTTTGGAAGAGTCTCTTGGTCCATTTTCCAGGAACTGCTTGTGAGGTTGCACCATACTCTTGTGCAGGAGAACTTGAAATCATTCTCCCTTCTGAACAGAGGAGAGGGTGCCTGGAGTGGCAAAAAATAAACAGATGGGGGAATGGGTTTATTAGTTACTTGTTGTTGCATAACCGATTACTCCCAAGCCTAGAAGCATCTACTGTCTCACACAGTTTCCGAGGGTCAGGGCGGAAGCTGTGCGTTCCTTAGCTGGGTGATTATGGCAGCCAAAGGTTGATGTGGCTGAAGATCCCACCGCCAAGGTTCCCATGCTTGCTGCATGCACCTCTCAGTGGGCCGGTGAGTGCCGGTGTGACACCACACCTGATTTCCTCCAGGGTGAACGGTCCAAGCAAGGAGGAGGCCACAGTGCCTGTTTTGATCTAGAATCCAAAGTCCCACCCAGCCAGTTCTGCTACAACTTTTTATATTTTAAGTTGTTTTATTTACCTTTATTATTTATGAAGAATAGCCCTCCGTATCGCCAGGGTCTTCACTGATTAATTCAACCACTATGGATAGAAAATACTCATAAAAAGATCTCATCTCTACTGAACATGTACAAATTTTTCCTTGCCCCTGTCCCCTAAATAGTACATATAACAAGTATTTGTTAATGATTTCATCATATTAAGTATTATAAGTAATCTAGAGATGGTTTAAAGTTAAAGGATTACAAACCTTCTATGAAAACACCACAAAGAAAACAAAGAAAAGTAAACACCATGCCATTTCACATAAGGAATTTGAGCATCTGCAGATTTTGGTATTTGAGGGGATCCCAGAAGCAATCAAATCAAACTCCCAGTGACACTGAGGGGTGACTGTACAGCCTATTTTTGTGTACTGTCACTGATACTAACTCATCATAAATTTCCTTCCTGAGATGACTCAACTTCAGTAAGGAATCCGTTACGTATATGCATATTGTATTCATCAGCATTTCCATTGCTGGGCAAAATACTCAGTGCCTGTAACTTACAGGAGGAGAGGTCTGACTTGACTCAGGGTTGCAGAAGACCCAGTCCACCGATGGCCGTGTGCAAGGCAGGACCACGGCAGTAGAATATGTGGAACAAGGTGCTCATTTATAGTAGCCGGGAAGCAAAGTAGGTGAACAATGTCAACAGAGACATACCCTCCAAAGTCCTGTGTCCGGTAGCCCACCCAGACGTGCCCCAAGTGTGCTTCACTAATGCCCTGGGCAGCTCTCGAGCCAATCACATTGGCAGTGTAGCTCACTGTCACACGTATATTCTCCACGTACTACAATGTTCTACTCACAAATACAGAAGTGCTACAATGATTTCCCTTCTTTGCTTCTTCTTCCTCTTCCTCTTCCCCTTCCCCTTCCTTTTCTTCTCCTTCTTCCTCTTCCTCCTCTTCCTCTTCTTTTTTTGTTTTTTTTTTCGACACAGGGTCTCATTATGTCGTTTAGGCTGGTCTTGAACTCACTAGATAGTCTAGTCTGGTTTTGATCTTGTGGTGATTCTCCTGCCTCAACCTCCCAAGTGCTGAGATTACAGGCATGCCCCACCACACCCAGCACTACAATGATTCTTTTTGTTTAATGAACTCATAGCACAAGTAAATATACTATTATTCATACTTTTTTTATGTCTTTTTGAGACAGGGTTTTGGTATGCAGTTCAGGTTGGTCTTGGGCTCACTTTGTAGCCTAGCATGGTCTCAAACTTGCAATGATCCTGTTTCAGCCTCCCAAGTGCTGGGATTACACATATGTGCCACCATGTCTGGTTTCTTGGTCATACTTATAAGAATTGTTTTTCTGGCAAAAATCCCTGAACATAACTAACTGCTTTTCCACACTCACTTGTGATCCATTCCAGTCATTGAAAGTGAATCACAGAACAGCTCACACTCAGGGAGAGATTGGATGGGAGCAACAGCAAAGAACATGTAGATGTAGTTTTAAACCACCACAGTAGATGCAGGAGGCCCAACACAGTGTCACCAACAGCTGGTGGGTCCTGACCCATTGCTAACAAGCACTATGATCTTGGGCTCAGTCTCCCTAATGTGCCTTGGAGATGGCAATATTGTATGCGCTCAGCTACTCTGCTCAGACGGGAGGTAGATAGCAACAAAGGCAAGAAGAGCATGGGTTTGGAATCAAATCTTTGCCTCAGCACCTTACATCTCCAGGCCTCAGTTTCATCACCTGTGTCATTCATTACCTAGCTCTTTGTGTTGTGGGAGAACGAACCACGACACATGTGTGGGCAGCTGGTTTTGGCAGAGTCCAAACTGAGCAAGTCCAGAGGCATGTATTTGCCAGGGAAGCCAAGGCGTGTTGAAGAAGCTCTTTTTACAGTACTTCAGCCATCTGAAGAGGAAGCTGGAAGAAGACTTCTATCACCTGCAGGTTTTTATGACCTCACCAGAAGTCATCCTCCACATCCTCCACATTTCCCTCGATGGGCTACCTTATGGAGGTGTGACCAAGACTTAATGGGAAGTATTCAGCTACTGTTGGGGTTAAAACTATCTCCTCAAACTGAGGCCAAAAATAACTGCATTATGACCTCCTATTGCCTGGCATTATGTGCAGCTGGGTGACAGAGCCTCCTCATGAAGTCGGGACAGGATGGAAGGTTCTGGGCCTCACGTGGGTGGCAGGTGGGACATACGAGACCTCTCACTGGAAGGTAGAAAAGCAAAGCTTACAGACTGACCATTGCACCGGGTTCTGGCAAGACCAAGTTAGGGCCCTAGGATTACAGAGCCTGCTCAGAGGCAGGCTGGAGAGAGGGGAGCACTTACTGCCTCGTGGAACAAGATCAGATACGGAGTCCACCTCAGAGTTGGCAATGTGGGCTTGGTGGGGAGCAGGAGAGGGTGTGGTCACTTCAAGCAGACCCTCCTGTAGGAGTGCAGGGCTCCCACACCTGATCAGAGGCCTCTCCAGCAGCTGGGGCCTCAGCATGGAGGTCAGTTTCCCTAATTTCTCTCTGTCTGGGCTAAGTGGGGCACTGGTGGCTGGAGGTTGTGAACGCTTTACCATACCTGGAGTCTGCAATCCCCAGTATGAACCAAGAAAATGGAGAGACTGACCGTGGGCTGCCAAGATCAGGGGTGGTATTCTAGATCTTCGGTGGTTGTATCAGCTATCAAGTGCTGTATAACAAACCACCCTCCAAACAGTGTCATAAAGGAAAAAAAGATCTGCTGTCTTGCTGATGATTCTGGGAGTTGACTTAGCTCAGTTGGCTGTTGTTTGGGCTTCCTCAGGCAGTTGCAGTCAGGTGGTGACTGGAACTGTGTCACCTCAAAAACCATCTTTGCTCATGTGTAGCTCATGCATGCAGGAAGCTCAGACAGCTGGAACTGGAACAACTGGGGCTCCTTTGCTCATGCTCTCTTTCTCTCTCTCTCTCTCTTCCCTCCCTCCTTCTTTCTCCCTTCCTTCTTCTTTCCTCCTTGCCTTCCTTCTTCCTTCCTTCCTTCCTTCCTTCCTTCCTTCCTTCCTTCCTTCCTTCCTTCCTCAGGGTCTTCCTGAATTGGTGGGCAACCTCCCGACACAGTACTTTAAGGCTCTTCAGTATGAGTCCTAAGAGAGACAGCAGAAACTGCAAGACAGGATCTTGGCCAAACACCATGTTCCCTTCTCTCTTTACAGAAATGGTCCATTCACAAGGGTGTTTCATGCTGCATTGCTATTGACAGTAAAACACCTCCTCTTTCTACAAATCCAGACCCAGGGCAGAAATGCTAGCGGGAGCAATAGATTAGATCTAAGAGGTGGGGGAGCAGCAGGGGCCAACCTGCAGAAGATTGGGATTGGGAATCTGGAACTGGGATGGAAAGAAAAGCATTGCCGGGGGAGAACAGCGAGGGTTTAAGAGCAGTGAGGTTTATTAAACAGTTTTGTTGCTGATTAAAAGATATTCCCCCATCGTACATAGGTTTTGTTTTTTTTTTTTTTAAAGCAAGAGTGAAAACCTAGCATGCGGTGGTTATTGACCGAATGTTGGTGTTGCCCCAAATTCACATGCCGATACTCTAACCACCTGTGTTTGGACATAGGAGCTCGGGGAGGTGAATAAGGTCAACTAGGGTCGTGAGGTGGAGTCTCTAAGTGGAGAGGGCTGATGGCTTCTAAGAAGAGGAAGAGGAAGACAGACCAGCATGCTCCCCACCCACCCCTGCGCACCCAGGGGAGAGGCCACGTGAGGACACCCTGAGAAGGCAGCCACCTGCAAGTCACAGTGAGAAGCCGCTCTAGAAACAACCTGCTGACACCTTGGTCTTAGATTTCCAGCCTCCGGGACAGTGAAAATAAATTTCTGCCATTGAAGCCACTCTGCCCGCACTCACCCTTGGTTATGGTGGTCCCAGCAGACTCAGACAACTGTTGGTTGTACTTTGTGTCTTTTCGGCCAGCGTTTCTTAGCAGGTCCCTTCCTGTTGGGTTGGGGGCACCAGGCCGTGGGGTGTGATGCAGGCACTGTGTGAATGCCGTGGTGATGCACACAGGCGCTCACCCTGCCTCTGATGGGGTAACAACCTCTGCGTCTGCCAACCAGAGGAAGCCCCGAGAGCCAGCAGTGCCAGCCTCGGACGGAGGGACCACAGCCCACGGTACACACAGGGCTGGGAGTGGTAGTAACCACCAGGCGCCGCAGGCTCCGGGACAAAGGCCTTGTCATTATGCTCATCAGACAATGGGCTGGAGCAGGCGCAGGAAAATGCTCAGCAGTGAGCCAGCCGCGGGGGATTCAGGCCCCACTGCCCAGCTGCCTGCGCCTCTGTCCCGGCTTTACCGCTTAGAAATGGCAGGGCCCAGGAGAGCCGTCTCCAGCGCTCTGAGCCTCAGTCTCCTCGTGTGGAATGTGGGGTAATGCCGCTACCGCCCCTGGAGGTGTTGTGAGGATCGAATGAGCTGGGCTATGTGAAAAACTGGACACAGTGCCAGGCAGAAGGTAATGAGACCCAGGGGCTCAGTGCTCGTCCTCACAGGAGCCCGAGGGTCACCACTGGGATGCAGCCCTTAGGAATGAATACAAGGAGGAAAAGGGCAAGTTTCTCCCCACCTATTCTATCTAAAAATACTCCTGCCTGGGAACACCATAGTAGCGCATGTCAACTCAAATGCCCTCAGCGGTGTGGGAAGGGCCAGCTGAGGCCGGCTGTGGGGGCTTCCCCTGGGGATTCGCCCATGCCGTCCTGTCCCTGGTGGCCAGTGGAAGCAGTAAATCTTCCGTTTTCCTAGATAAGCTAGAAAGCTGGTTTTCTGTAAGATGAAACTTTCAAATTTTTAACTAACTTAAAAATTGCAGGGGCTACATAGAAGCAGTCCAGTTTGCACCTCCACCTAGCCTCAGAATGTCACCCTGGGATGACCCGGAACAGGTGAAATGTTCCGGAAGCTTCTGTTGGGTACACCTTCCGAGCATGCCCAGCTGATGCCGGGGTGAAGCTGAAGTGTGCAGGGGCGTGGACAGGCCTTCTGGGGACAGCAGAGTGGGCAGAGCTCAGGGGACAGACGGAGCCTCCCCCACTCTCGCTGGCTCCCAGTGTGGGGTGGTGACGGTTGGGGCCGCAGTGCACAGAAAGGAGCTTTGTGCGGCCCCTGCCTCGCCGCTCTAGACCTGCTCTCTCTCATCTTCCTCAACAACGCACACCTTCCAGAAAGATCCCGAGCTCGAGTCACGGGGAGGTAGGTCCTCCTCCTGGGAGATGTGTCCTTGCTCAGGAGCAAACAGCTGTGACACCCAATGGAAAACTTTCCTGGTGATGTCTCCAGAGCAGGCTGGCAGGGCGTGTCGGGGAGGGTACGAGGTGATATCTCTGCCACGCCCATGAGTGTGTGCACTGTCCCCGTCACCACCACCCCTGTGGTCATAAAAGGACACATCCTGTTTGTGCCAAGCTACTATCTACCCTGGCCCCAGTGTACTTTCACGGACCCCGAAGGCCCCTGCAGGGCCTATGCCAACCACATGTGACATCTCAGAGGCGGACCCCAGGGTGAGGCCCGGCCCCGTCTGCCCTGGCCCTGCATCACACGTACCTGTGTACCAGGCAGGATGTACAGTGCAACTGCAAAGGGGTGAGGAGAGTTCTCTGCCTTCCTCCTCCGCCACCCCCAGTCACCTGGAACACTCTGCCACCTCTCTGCCTGGCGCGCCCACTCCTCCTGCCCCTTCTCTGTGGCCGCTGCCTTAGCAGATGCTCAGAATATTGTCCTGAGGCAAGCAGATATTCGTCACATGTGACTGGGATCAAGTGGCTGTCTGTGTACCCATCTTCCCTCTGTCACCGGTGGTGTCACCATCCGTCCCTTCAGTTGTAGCAGCGATCACAAGACACAGACACGGGGATCCCACTAGAGACCTCACTGTGGCTGAGGCCATGTCCAGTTCAAAGGGACTGGGAGTGGCTCAGCGTCACCAACAACAGGATGGGTTGTTTGGATTATTAAATGCAGTAATGAGCTTATCATTTATATTTGTCACCCACAAAGCTCTGGATGGAGTAGACATTGCATAGAGTCCTAACCTGGAGATGGTTTGCTTTACATTATTTTTTATTTTTTGACTTTCTGAGGGTGCAACAGTGATATGCTGACCCACAGCTCCCAGTCAACCAGGCAATCAGGAAAAAGCAGCCAGAGCTCTATGAGGTTCCGCAGCTTAGGTCGTTCAATGCATTTTTAACATTACATTTATTTTAGCGATACATAAAAACTACATATTCATGGGGTGGCACATAATGTTTCAGTACACATGTACATTATACAGTGCTGAAATCAGGTTAAGCAGATCACCCTAAAAACATCATTTCTTCCTGGTTAAAAACTTTCAAAATTCTTTCTTCTGGCCCTTTAGAGCTGTCTGTGGTCACCCTGCCACACAACGGTGCACCAGGACTTCTTGTTCCTAACTGAAACTTAGCACGGTGCACTCTTAACGTGTGGTATTTTTTACTTACGGTGGGCTTTTGGGGATGTAATCCCCTCAAGTGTTGAGCAGATTCTGTATTCTCTTTCTCAGCACGGTAAGGAGGGAAACAGGCTCTGCAAAGAGGCTGAGGATCTGAGTTCTCATCCTCGAGCTCCCAGTCATTTACAGGAGCAGCCCCAAGCTTCCCTGGAGGACAGGGTCCTCGGCTGTACACTGAGGCGACAACACTGATGGTGCCCAGCACTCCTCTGAGATCCAAGGGAGCAGCACCGAGTTGTCACCACTTCCCTGGTTAAGTGGCAAAGCTGCGGTTGGTGGCATCTTAAAGACCTAGAAGTGTAGACAATGCCTTCACTGAAGTGCAGTGGACACAGCCCCCTGTGAGCACAGGATGCTGGAGGCTGCCTGAGATCAGGTGGCAGGGACACAAAAGGAGGTGATCCTCACTGCTGACCTGCAGCCCCTCGGTCTACAGCACGTGTATGTGATGGGTACCAGTTTGTCATAGGAAACTGCCGCCGCTGATATGAAGGCAGTGTCCACTTTATAGGTGAGGAGAGTGACATTCAGAACAGTGCAAGGATGACGTAGACATTCAACAGTGCTGGCAGTCCCGGCCCAAGTTCTGTGTTCTCACGATATAGTCATCCAAGCCCAGGAGGACGAGGAGGCAATCTGGAGACAGCCTCCTCTCCTTAGTTGACCTACTTCTGGTCTAAAAGCCACATTCCTAGATGGCCACCTCCATTTCAAAAAACCTCACAGGAAGACTCGGTGCATTAAGAGCTGCATCTCACATCCTACTTAGAATAAAGTCACACGGCATTCACCCATGGCTAAGCAATGAGGCCAGGTAGGAGAGAAGGATGCTGTTCGAGTCGGAATTGCCTTCCGTGGGCCCAGTGGCGGTGTGTTATGGGAATGGACACAGCCTAGAAAGGAAGATGCAAGGCACAGATTGCTCATCATATTCCCTCATGTAAGGGTCCAAGTGAACGTCACACCGTCAGAGGCCAAATGGTGCCACTTCACAATTCATAGGCCCAAGCCCTGACCCCCAGTACCTCTGAATATGACTTTATTTGGGGATGGGGCCTTTCTTTTCTTTTTGTTTGTTTGTTTGTTTTTGTTTTTTGGTTTTTCTCTGGTACTGGGAATTGAACTCACAACCTTGCGCTGGCCAGGCAGGCGCTGTGCCGCTGAGCTAAATCCCCAGCCCCTCTTTTCTTTTTGAGACAGGCCCTCACTGTGTAGTTCAGGCTGGCCTTGAACTCACAGCAATCCTCCTGCCCCAGCCTCTTGAGTGCTGGGATCATAGGTGTGCGCCACCATGCCTGGATGAGGTGGAGCTTTTAAAAAGGTGGCTACATGAACCTAAGATTGCAGTCTGACTGCACTCAGGGGAAGAGGAGATGCTACAGTTTGGATCTCAGCTGTCTCCCAGAGACTCACGTCTTGAAGCTTTCGTCTTTACCTTGGTGCTCTGGGGAAGTGACTGAACCAGGAAGAGGTGGGAAAAGTTGGAGGTCTTCTAGTTATGGGTGATGCCCTTGAAGGGGATCATGGGATCTGCTCTTCCCAAGGCTACCTTCATTTCCCATATGCCCTACCATGATGAGCTATCTCACCACAGGACAAAAGCAGCAGGGCCAGCTAGCCATGTACCGAACCCTTCAAAACCGTGAAGGCCTTTTCTCTTTATGTATTGATTATCTCAGATATTTGTTACAGTAATGGAAGCAAACTAACACAGAAGGGTGAGACACATGCAGAGACACCCGGGGGTATGCATGCACAGAGGAAAGGTTGTGAACAGGCAGCAAGAAGGTGGCCATCTGCACGCCAGAGAGAGAGGCTTCAGGGAAACTAAATCTGTGAATCCCCGATCTCAAACTTTCAGTCCCCATAACTGAGTCTCCTGTGGGTTAAGGTCATCTTCTCAGTGGAAAACTGCCTCTGCCATAACTCCCAGCTCCTTTTGGTCACTTTTCCCAAATCCGTGTGCTTCGTTTTACTGACAGGCAGAGAAGTATCGAAGGACCCAGCATAGAGATCCAGTCCCAGCCTCCCCTGTTCCACGTGCAGGTTCCTCCTGGTTGATGTCATATATGACTAAAAACAAAGAAGCAGGATCAGGAAACCCTACATTGAAGCATTCTTGGACCCCTGTGGGAGAAAGTCGCCAGGGCTGGTGTATCTGCTCTGCATTCCAACCCAATAGCCCAGCCAAGGGCAGGACCAGCCTTAAGCTCAACAGGGCAATAAGCCCCACCCCACCCCCGTGGGTGATTCTAAGGGTGTCAAGAGGGGTTTGCATCTTTCCCCATCCTTCTTTCTAGATTCCCACAGTCCAACAGGCTTAACTCAATGAATGATGCCTGCACTCCACGAATGCTCCTACTGAAGAGACAGTGTCCAGGAGGGCCAAAGTCTAGACTATCCCACTGCAGACACGCATGTGCTCCAAAGTACCAGGACTGCCCTTCCTCACCTGTCCTTTACCCTAGGAGGGCCTGAGCTCCAGGCACTCCCGCAAGGGGCTCAGACTCCTGTGAGGAGCACAGTCGCGAGGGACTGCTGGACTTTGTACACAGGCAGGGTGGTCAGCGCTGCAGAAGTCAGGGAGCAGCAGCACCCTAACTGGCCTGGTCCAGTGGTGGCGTGGCCTTGAACACGGTTCC